AGGCATATGTCGCCGAGACCGCTAACTTCGCGGGAGCATAATTCCATGAGTTTGCGACCAAATTTCGAACTTTTGGTGTCATTACCATCGGGAAAAGATTCTCTATCATTTCATAAGAATTTTTTTTTTTTTTTTTTTTTTTTTCAAAAATTTATCGACATAGAATGACAGTTTCAGAGAGGGGCCTGAAACAGTCAAAGGGTTAATACTGTGTACTAGACCCTTAAGCAATAAAAAAGTAAAATTAGAATTTTTTTTTTTTTTAAACACGTTGGCTGTCTCCTACCGAGGCAGGGTGACCCGAAAAGAAAGAAAATCCCTAGAAAGAAAATACTTTCATCATCATTCAACACTTTCACCTCACTCGTACATAATCACTGTCTTTGCAGAGGCACTCAGATATGACAGTTTAAGTCAGCCTCCAAACTGCCAGTATCCCAAACCCCTCCTTTAAAGTGCAGGCATTCTACAGTGGACCCTTGACTTACGATATTAATCCGTTCCAGAGAGCTCATCGTTAGACGAAATTATCGTTAGTTGAATTAATTTTCCCCATAAGAAATACAGTGGACCCCCGGTTAACGATATTTTTTCACTCCAGAAGTATGTTCAGGTGCCAGTACTGACCGAATTTGTTCCCATAAGGAATATTGTGAAGTAGATTAGTCCATTTCAGACCCCCAAACATACACGTACAAACGCACTTACATAAATACACTTACATAATTGGTCGCATTCGGAGGTGATAGTTATGCGGGGGGTCCACTGTAATGGAAATCCAATTAATCCATTCCAGACACCCAAAATTATGAAAAAACAAAATTTTTACCACATGAAATATACATTTTTCTATATAGAAAAAGGATATATGCACTATACAGTGCACTCCCGACTTAGGATATTAATCTATTCCAGAGAGCACATCTTGAGACGAAATTATCGTAAGTCAAGTTAATTTTCCCCATAAGAAATAATGGAAATCAAATAAATCCGTTCAAGACACCCAAAAGTACGAAAAAAAAATTTTACCATGTGAAATATATATTTTCCTACACAGAGAAAGAAGGATACATGCACAATATATATATGTATTGTGCATGTACTAGTGTACTAAATGACGAATAAATGACACCTTTATTGAAGATGTGGTGATGAGTGATGAGACACTATTTGTGTCCTGGGAGTGCCTTTTCCTTCTGAGTAATGTAGGTCCTGTTTGGCATTTTCTTCCAGAACAGGCCTTATCACACTGTGTATGCCACTACGATTCTTAAATCTTTCAAACCAACCTTTGCTGGCCTTAAATTCACCAATATGAGCACTAGTTCCAGGCATTTTTTCCTGTTCACCTGGGTGATAGTCGACTGGTGTTGGTCGCATCCTGGGGGACAAGATTAAGGACCCCAATGGAAATAAGTTAGATAATCCTCGATGGCACACTGACTTTCTTGGGTTATCCTAGGTGGCTAACCCTCTGGGGTTAAGTGTTTCTTGGTATTCTCGATAAGCCACACCAACAACAGTCTCTCCACACCTTCGAGTACTACAGGTGACCATGGTGCAGCAGCAGCTGACCGTGGTACAATAGTATTTGAATAGTATTTCTCACCCTTTTTACCACAGGGTTGGCACTAGAAGCTTTCTTTGGGCCCATGGTGGCTTATTTAGCAGTTACAAGCACTAAAAACACTGAAATAATACAAAATTTATCGAATGTATGCATGCAACTGTCCGCCCTGGCTTGTAAACAATGTCACACTAGCTCAGCTGAGGCGCTCAAGCCAGACGGCCACGTTCGAGATGAATGATGTAAGTCGAGTTTTTCAACATAGGTCGGGGTCAAATTTTTACACTGATAAGCATCGTAAGTTGGGGGTCCACTGTACTATACTGTACTAAATGAAGAATAAATGGCACTTACCTTTATTGAAGATGTAATGATGAGTAATGAGACATGTTTTTCTTGAACAGTCTGGGATTTTCAGTGATGCACGAGTAAAGGCTTCACTTTGCAATTCCCACTAGCATTACAAGAAAACATGAGAGTTAGCCTGTCTTTCATAGGCTTGTGTCCTGGAAGTACCTTTTCCTCTTGAGTAATGTAGGTCCTGTTTGGCATTTTCTCCCAGAACAGGCCTGTTTTGTCACAAACACTTGTTGGGGTTGGAATTTTTCAGCTTCACCATGCCTTATCACAGTGTATGCCACTATGATTCTTAAATCTCTCAAACCAACCTTTGCTATCCTTAAATTCACCAATGTGAGCACTAGTTCCAGACATTTTTTCCTGTTCACCTGGGTGTTAGTCGACTAGTGTGGGTCGCATCCTGGGGGAAAAGATTAAGGACCCCAGTGGAAATAACTTAGACAGTCCTCGATGATGCGCCGACTTTCTTGGGTTATCCTGGGTGGCTAACCCTCTGGGGTTAATTATTTCTCGGTAAATGTTTCTCGTTAAGCCACACCAACAACAGTCTCTCCACATGTTCGAGTAGTACAGCTGATGGTGGTGCAGCAGCAGCTGACCGTGGTACTATACTATTTCGATAGTATTTCTCACCTGTTTTACCATGGTTAACACTAGAAGCTTTCTTTGGGTCCATGGTGGCTTATTTAGCAGTTACAAGCACTAAAAACAGTGGAATAATACAAAATTTATCGAATGTATGCATGCAATTGCCCGCCCTGGCTTGTAAACGATGGCACTAGCTGAGCTGAGGCGCTCTGACCAGACAGACCACTTTCAGGATGAATGATGTAAGTCGAGTTTTTCTTCGTAGGTCAGGAAAATTTTTTTATGCTGAAACACTTTGTAAGTCGATTTTATCGTTAGATTAGGCCTTCATAAGTCGAGGGTCCACTGTACTTCCTATTCCCAGGACTCAAGTCCGGCTAACCAGTTTCCCTGAATCCCTTCACAAAATATTACCCTGCTCACACTCCAACAGCTTGTCAGGTCCCAAAAACCATTCATCTCCATTCACTCCTATCTAACACACTCACACATGCTTGCTGGAAGTCTGAGCCCCTCATCCACAAAACCTTTACCCCCCTCCCTCCAACCTTTCCAAGGATGAGAATATAGTGTAAATTTTGCCTGAAATTCTATGCAACCTATGGGCCTTCAGATTATTGTATGTTTTGTATGTACAGTGATTTTGAAATAAAGACTGTGTTTGTATCCATGGTTCAAGATGCTGACCTATATGGAGCCCCCTATAGGTCACTGAAATAAATCATAATTTTATTTTTATAATTCCACCCCCACTTGCCTGTCCAACATAAAATTGTTAATAAGGTGCTGTAAGATTTTTACTTTGTGTATGCTGCATTTCTGCTTGAATGAATAATCTCACTTATTTTTAATATGTTTGCAATGTTTCATTCATTACATGAAAATAAAGTGAGAGGTATACAGTTTATCTTTATTAGGCATAATAGAAAAATCAGTTTTATGTGCCCCACCATAGAAGTGTTAGACAGATATATTAGAGAATATTGGTACCAGTCTGTAGAAGCCTGCCTGGGGCACTCAGTTTTCTCTCTGGTCCTGTATATGACTTTATGCAGCAGTGGTAGACTTTGCTATACATGTAATTTTGAAGGACTCGTTGCTTAACACCAAAGCAGTATTTCATTTCGTAATCTTAAATAACATGTTTTATGTGCTATGCATATGAGGCTTTTATATGCATTCATTTGAAAGTAAAAAAAGCTTGTTTCACTTTAAAGCGATTTTTGCTTTTATATGCATTCATTTGAAAGTAATAAGAGCTTTTTCACTTTTAAGTATAATTTTGTAGATTAACAAGTTGGTAGCCAGTGGAACTAATGCTTATGTGCAACATGCTCCTCCAACTTTACACTTGTAAGTTTATATGTATGTCAGTAATACTTAACTCCGGACAAATGTTGACAATAAAAGTGACACAAGTTGCACTTGTGACCATATTTATTGTACCAAAATTTTTGCTTTAGGATTTAATTATAGCTTTGATAAAACTTAGAATTGGCTTGATCAGTATGACTTATGAATAAGGGTCTAGGAAGAGCGAACAGTTAAATAAAATGCAACATTGTGCACTTTGAGTCTTTTACCTAAATTTTTACATTATTTAGTCCACAAAAAGGTATATAGGTTTTGAATATTCAATTATATTTCAGGTCAGTCCTCATGTTGATAAATTGGCCATAATTCAGAATGTCTGTGCTTGATCAGTAGTCTGGACTATGGTAGTGAAATCAAATGGTTTAGAAAACCAACAGTGAATAGATGAAGGTTAGATAATTTTTAGAATCTTATCAGATATGTTTTGCCAGCCATTGACTTCTTCAGTCCAGTGCAGAGAAAGGTGAATGATGAAGAGGAGTTTGAAGTAGTCAATCCCTCAGCCTGGAGTTCATGTGTTCAGTCCATCAATCTTGATAAAAGTGTGGCATATTTGCAGAGATGGGGCTTATGTGCTGGTGACAGATAAGGTGGAGCAATGGTAGGTGGAATCAGTAGTGGACAAAACCACTAGTGGAAGTAGGTCATGCCTATAGGTTAGATAAGTTTGAAGAAATCCCTGCATCAAGATCCCAAGATGTTGCCGTGTCTGACAGGATGTGAATAAATGGTTTAGAAAACTGATAAGTTGATAAATGAGACACTTGTGCAACATTAGGGAATCTTTATTCTGAAAACGTTTTGCCAGCCAGTGAACTGAAGAAGCCACTGGCTGGTGAAACATTTCCAGAATAAAGATTCCCAAATGTTGCACAAGTGTCTCATTTACTAACTTATGGTGTTTAGCTATACTGTATACCATATAAAGCTTTGAAAGCAAATATAATAAGTGTCTGACTACAAAATTTATACTGTATTGTGTTGATTTATTCATCACTTAAGTATATTAGCCATAACATAACCATACTAATTTTTTAAATTCCAATGCATATTAAAATCTAAAAAAAAATGTTAATAATAAAACTAAAGTTTATAGTTTTATCTTTTTCAGCTACGATGTAGTATAAAAACCACACTTAATAGCTGGGGAGGGAGCAAAGCAGATGCTCAGAATTGTGAGGTCCTTTCTATCCAAGGAAATACAAATAGTTTACCTCCCAAAGAAAGCATCTTCACCAAGACTACTGTGAAGCTTTTCCTCAGCAACAATGACTCTTCACAGGTTGAAGATGCCATTAAAACTGGTAAATATACTGAAATATCAGAATTATACCAGTTTTAATTTAGTGTATTAATAATTGTAGTCTTATAGTATTCTCTTTTCAACTTAATTATTTTATGAATTTTCATGGAAGTTTGTTGCGGTAATCTTTCCTTTCTCACCATTTCCCTTTCTTTCCTCCAGTAATTTTGTTTTGTTTTTACCCCCTTTTGCTGGATGGATCCCAAGAATCATTTTGCCATATGAAGTTTTATATTACTTTTAAATAAGAAGGTTTCATTATGTGGCACTTGTTTTCCCTAGAGTCATTAGATAATTATAGTAGACTGTAAATTAAGATGCGATCTTCAAGGATGTTTTCACTTCATAATGGTTGAAGAATTGTGGCAGTTCATCATTCATGACTCCGTTATAAATATAGCTTTAAATAGCTAAAAGCTTGTACAAGAAGGCAAGTATCTGATAATTTCATTGTAACTACACATTCTTGTGCTTTTAACAATTATTCACTTATGCTAGGGGTATTTATACAGTTCTTGAGTATGTTAGTGAGTTCTGATAATAAAGAGTAGAAAGTACAGTAATGAAAAGAGAAAATGAAGGCATCGCCATGATAAATGCTTGTGATTGAAGTGCATAGGGTCACTACAGTACATACATATATACTGTTTATATACAAATTGTTTATCACCACAGGAGTCACAGGAAAACTAAGTACATAATGTGACTAAATTAGTTGCTTCCTGCATACCAGTCAATACATGCAGTGTTTTCATATCCTTTGCATCATCAGTGCTAATATGTGAGGATACTGGAGATAATGTTTATATACACTTGAGAAGGACTTCAACATTTATACAGGTCTCCCTCAACATTCACGAGGGTTAGGGGACCAAAAGCCTCGCGAATGTTGAAAAACCGTGAATGTTTGGTGCCCCAATATATTGTAGGGAAATATAATACAATACTGCTTCCTTAACTTGTTGAGCCATGAACAATCATAAAATACGTGAAAACGTCGTAAATTGTACTAAATATATACATGTTATGCTTTAATAACATGTATGTTATTAAATACCACAGACTCCACCACTGCCTCCACCAATGCCTCCACCACTTTCTCAACCACTGCGAGTTCCTAGCTCCGACTAACCCATACGAAGTCTCCCTTATTATCAACGCACTGAAAAACAAGGCAGGAGATTTAAATACCTTACCACCCTTTATATACAAAAAAGCGTCACAAGTACTATCACCAATCATTGCAACGCTCTTTAACAAATCCATTGAATCCTCCACCTTCCCTACAGTTCCCAAAATAGCAAGGGTCACCCCGATCCATAAAGGAGGAGACCAAACAGAGTTGAATAACTATAGGCCAATATCCAACTTACACCCTCTCTCAAAAATCTTGGAAAAATTAATTCATAAACGAATCTACTCCTACCTCATCTCCCAAAACATTCTCAACCCCTGCCAATTTGGATTCAGGCCTAATAAAAATACTAATGATGCTATTATACACATGCTAGAACATATATACACTGCAATAGAGAAAAAAAAGTCCCACTGGGATCTTCATTGACTTACGTAAAGCTTTTGATACAGTTGACCATGACTTGCTCCACGTAAAATTGTCACACTATGGTATTAGAGGGCACTCCCTCAACTACCTCAAGTCTTACCTCAGCAACAGAAGCCAATATGTGTACGCAAATGGGGCAAGCTCTTCCGCACAACCAATTACATTGGTGTCCCACGGGAAGTGTCCTTGGCCCTTTTCTCTTTCCCTATACATAAAGACCTACCAAATGCTTCGCAATTACTCAAACCCACATTTTTTTGCAGATGACACTACATACTCTTCTCTCACCCGAGCCCAGTCCCTAGCCAATACTGAAACACCGAATTTACAGAAAATACTACCTGGAGAGGGATAACAAACTTACACTAAAATTGACAAAACCTATTCTTTCAGTTTGGAAACAGACTACGATGTACCTCTTAACATCCCCGATAAAACACCTATACAAAGTAACAGAGGGAAAATTCTTGGGAATCCACCTCATAATAACTAAAATTTCATACCAATACAACAAATTTCTAAGAAAATTTCCAAACTGATTCTTTACTATCGAAGATACGGTACTATGTTCCACAGTCCCCCCCTGGCCCTTTACACTCTCTTTTTTACCCCTATCTCACCTAGGAATTTGTGCATGGGGCTCAACCCCAAATTTAACCCATCTCAGACCACTAATTCCCCAACAAAGGCTGCTTAAAATGAAACAAATTCCACTACAGGCAACACACTCCCCCAAATATTAAAAACACTAAACCTACTCCCCAACAAACATCCATACTTATTATTGCACCATTACATACAAGAAATTTAAAATCTGTATAACCCCCCCCTAAAACATCTTCCCAACCTCAACAGAACACTGACCAAAAAAAGGCACAGATACTCTTTTAAAGTTCCCGGTCCATCCACGCTACAAAAAATCAATGCACATAAAAGGGCCCCAAAATCTGGAATTCATTACCGTAAAATAAAAGAAAACACTCCTGTTTTTAAAAATTTAATCTCTCTCAAAGTTTACTTTTTTCCCCTCAAACCAAATAAATACTGAATAACTGAACCTTATAAAAATTTTATATCCAAAATGTACTCACAAATTTTAAACACATAAATGTTAAACTGGGACCCAATCTAACTTTTTTATTTTTTTAAATACCTACCTAAGAATACTCCATTCAATGAATGAACAGCAATGCACAACCCTATGACCTTCTTTTTTAAAACTCATTTTTGCTTTATAGTTATCTGTTTACATAAGTCTTATCACTGATTTCACATTTCTTAGTTTTTCTTAATTAATTTTAAGCCAGCCCTAATGCATGCTATAAATGGCTTTGGCATGCTGCTCTTACCCGTATTTTTTTTTTTACCCTGATGTATCTAAAAATTTTTAAAAAATAAAAAAATAAAATTTTTAAAATAATATAAGAACTTTCCCCGTAAGCCCTGCGTGTTTTAAAAGTCAACTAAAAAAGCCCGGGGGCAAGGGCTATAACCCCTTTTCCGTAAAGATTTCAAAAAAATAAGAAGAAGAAAATTGTCAAAGTGGGAAATTTAATGTCGTGGGTTTGTCAAATGATAAGAAAAATGATTGGATGTTATGAATGAGAGAAAAATGGGTGTCCCGGCTTTAAGTGAAACAAAAACTAAGGGGGGGGGAGAGTTTCAATGGAGAGGAATAAATGGGGTTTGGGCAGGGGGGTTTTAAATAGGTTAAGCTAAAAAAGGGGAGCAATAAGTTGAAGGATAACAGGCAGGAAAAAGGGGCTACAAATGCATAAATTTAAGGATTATGGGATAAAATAAGATTGGTGTGAAAAGTGGGTTTTTTTGTAAGCGTAGCACCTGGAAAGAAAAAAGTGAGAGGGGAGGGGAGGATTTTGGGAAATTTGGTGAATGCGTGGGGAGTTTTTGAATCAAGTGGGAGAGAAATGGTGGTTGGGATTTCAATGCTAAAGTGGGGAAAAATTTACGGAGGGGGTGTAGGTAAATTTGGGGGGCCAGGGGAAATGAAAGGGGGGCCTTTAATTTATAAATTTAGAAAAAAAATTTGGTAATAAGAAAAAAAAATTTATGAAAAAGGGATAAATAAATATACAAGGTATGATGTGCACGTAATGAAAAGTAGTATTGTTAGATTATGTATAGGTGAATAAAGGTTTATGGTAGCCCAATAGATGTACATTTTTTATAGAGGGGCAACTGATATGTTCAATCATTATTTAGTTCTAGCTACAAGTTAAGTAAGAGGTAATGGGAAAAGATGAAGTGGCAACAACAAGTAAGAGGGAGGTGAAAGTGTATAAACTAAGGAGGAGGAAGGTTCAGGCGAGAAATAAACGACTATTGGCAAAAGGGGCTAAGTGCAAAGAGAGAGTAATGGGGGGGTTGAGAGGGTTGGAATAGATTTAAAATGCAAATTAGAAAGTGGGGGCAGAAGTTTGTGGTTTATAGGAGGTGGGGGCAGGAGGAAAGAGAGTGATTGGTGAGAAGATGAGTAAAGGGTATGATATAAGAGGAACAAGGTAGCTTACAGAGTTTTCTTACAAACAAAGTTTATAAAGAAGAGCAGATTATAGGAGAGTAAAAGAAATGTGAAAGAGAGTGGTGAAGAGAGTGCAGAAGGTGAGCAGATGAAAGGAGTGGGAGAGGCACTTCAAAGAAATTTTAATGAAAAGTAAAAAAAATTTTGGAGTGAGTTAAACAAGTATAAAAAGCCTAGGGAAAGTATAGATTTGTCCATTAAAAAACAAAGAGGGTTTTTTAAAGGGGAGTTTAGTATATGGGGAGAGGGAGGTATTAGGTATATGGCGAGAATATTTTGAGAACTATTAAATTGAAGGAAGAAATGGAGGCGTAATTTCATGCAATTGGGCCAGGGAGTATACCATCTTTAGATTGAAAAGAGCCGAATGTAAGTGTGTGGAGGTACGTGAGGCATTATTACGTAAATGATAGGGTAAAGCAGCTGAACTGATGGGATCTGATGACAAAATTGTCTAAAAGCAGGGATTAGTGGTTGGAGGGGTGTACTTTGTTTTAATAAATGTGAAAGAGGGAAGGTACCTAGCATTGGCAAAGTGCATGTATAGTCCCAGTTATATAAAGGAAAGGGACAAAAGAAATTGTAAAAAATTATAGAGGAATAAGATTTTGCTGGTATACCAATGAAAAGTATTACTGTAGAGTTATAATTGAAAGAATTAGAGTAAAGACAGAATGTAGAATTTGCGATGGACAAGAGGCTTTCAGAGTGGTAGGATTTAGATCAAGGTTTACATTGAAAGCATATATGTAACAGTATTTAGATAAAGTAGGGCAGTTTTTATTGCATTTATGATTTAGAAAAGGCAATGAAGAGTGGATAGAGGACAATGTCAGATTGTTCAAGTTTAAGGAATAGGTGGTAAGTTCTAAATGCTGTAAGAGCTTTTATAGGA